TTATCATCATTATATGGTAGTGGATCATAAACAAATATCATTATCATCATTATATGGAAGTTGATCATAAACAAATATAAGTTGTATGCTTCTCTCGAGGGTAATACCGTCTGATGTACGCCTGTTTGTAGTAGTGTCACCCGAGCCGGAAGGCGAGGGATGACACTGCTGCAGAAAGGCGTACATCATCCGTATTACCCGAGGGAGAAGACAACGTATTTATGTTACCACCATGTTTAATGTACAAAATATAATTTGAAGATCGCTACCGACTATATGACACGTAAATAAAATGGCGTCTGTTTCTCGACTGGAATTTTAAAATCAGTGAAGCATATTCTGACAAGCTAAAAACAGCTATAAAAATGGTTAATTATGTTTAAGTTGAGTGTGCAAACGATTCAATGTATAAAATATTTGAGACAAAGCAGTGAAAGTCTGTAAAATACATGTGTACATAGTGAACTCAAAAACAGTTGATCGAACGGTTTTCGAAGTCCGTGCACTGCATGCGTCATATACTGAGTCAAAAACGAAACTGCACATTCTTTCTTCAGGGCACTATAAAAGAACAAGAGATGGTAAGATGGTTACATTGTTATTATTTCATTGCTGAGATCTGTGTGATGTACTCGATACACTGACAGTGCCATAATCAGTTCAATTAGGCTACACCGCCGTTTCAAAACATGGGTATACAGAATGTCAAGTCACAAGAATAAAAATGCGAAATTTCTCAGTTCAGGATCGTGTATGGCCGCCCCGCGCATTCACCACTGCCAAACACCGTCTCCTCATCGACTGCCTGATGCTTGTGAACACGTGGTTGGAAATTCTGCGCCATTGCTCTTGCAAGGCAGCGCCAAGTTCCTGCAAATTCTGAGGTTGGTTCCTAAGACCACGAAGCCTTCTCCCAAGTGCATCCCCAGCGTGCTCTATTCGATTTAGGTCAGGGGACCTCGATGGCCAGTCCATGACGTTGATTCCAGCGTTTTGGAGGAAAGTTCGTGTCAACATCGCAGTATGCGGCCGAGCATTATCATGCTGGAACTGTAGACCTGGGCCATGAGCCGCCGAGTTCAGGGGTGAGCACCACGGATGACCAGAAGTCGGGAACGGTTGTTCCCACAGAAAGCACCCCACACCATGCAACTTCCGCCCCCCATCTGTCGACTTCCTGTACACAACATTGGGCATACCGTTCACGACGTCGTCTCCAGATTCTATGCCTGCCGTCCGTGGGTTTTGCTAACGTTTTTCTAGAGTCCCATTTCGGATACATGGATGTATCATCAGAGAAAAATTATTCATTATTTTTCAAATTACATTTTGTGAAGTTTCTTTTTTGACTCAGTATATTATGACGTCATACGATTGTTAGCGCTTCAGTTTCTCGGCGGAGAGTTTGGCGGTTACCGTGGCGGCGGGTAATATTTTTTCCAGTTGTCAACCTCCTGGGATGGGTGACACGGAAACTTGTTAAAGCGTCATTGACCAATGAAATTAAAGTATTTTACATGAAGGTAACATAAATATCATTATTATATGGTAGTTGACCATAAACAAATACACAGTCGGAATCCTACTACCACTCGTCTTTAGGCAGAGGAGATTAACAGATGGGGAGAAGGTTACGTCCCTCTGTGTTTATTATGGTTGATATTTATTTCAGTGAAACAAGTATCAGAAGAGGAGCATTTCGTTCACATTGTTTAGATTAATGAGTCATGAATACTAAGCCGTATGACAGTGTCACTCTGTATATACACCGACATTCCCAGCACCAGTCGTCAACGTGGGCGACTTAACAGCATCGAGTACACGTCTCGGCTTGATGATTTTGATTAGATTTAAAGGCACAATGCCGACATTATATATATTGGGGCATATGGCCCAATGATGCAATAAAAGACTTGTTATCCGTTACGACTTGCCTGAAATCGATAATTGAAACTTCGAGGCGAACAGCTTTCAAACAGAGAACACTTTCCATATATGGTATGTAAGCAATAGCTCCGTACATCGAAAACTGTCGCACGTGGTGTTGTCGGTGTTTGTCGAACTGGTTTCAATCACAAGTTATGTGTAGGATATTCCAAATAACTCTATGGAGTTCGCTTGAAATAATGTTCGGCCGGTAGCGGGCGCGAGAGTCGACTTAATGCAATGTTGCATTAATTCATTCGAACTTTTGAATTTGATATTGTAATCTAAAAACGTAATGTATTTTTGTAATAAGGTAAATGGTAGCTTCCCTGAGGGCTGATAGTTAGTATTATTGAGAGAAATAAATTATTTATTTTTGCAATAAGGTATATGGTAGCTTCCCTGAGGGCTGATAGTTAGTATTATTGAGAGAAATACATGATATGGTAGCTTCCCTGAGGGCTGATAGTTAGTATTATTGAGAGAAATACATTATTTATTTTTGTAATAAGGTATATGGTAGCTTCCCTGAGGGCTGATAGTTAGTATTATTGAGAGAAATACATTATTTATTTTTGTAATAAGGTATATGGTAGCTTCCCTGAGGGCTGATAGTTAGTATTATTGAGAGAAATACATTATTTATTTTTGTAATAAGGTATATGGTAGCTTCCCTGAGGGCTGATAGTTAGTATTATTGAGAGAAATACATTATTTATTTTTGCAATAAGGTATATGGTAGCTTCCCTGAGGGCTGATAGTTAGTATTATAGAGAGAAATACATTATTTATTTTGCAATAAGGCAATAAGGTATATGGTAGCTTCCCTGAGGGCTGATAGTTAGTATTATTGAGAGAAATACATTATTTATTTTTGCAATAAGGTATATGGTAGCTTCCCTGAGGGCTGATAGTTAGTATTATAGAGAGAAATACATTATTTATTTTTGCAATAAGGTATATGGTAGCTTCCCTGAGGGCTGATAGTTAGTATTATTGAGAGAAATACATTATTTATTTTTGCAATAAGGTATATGGTAGCTTCCCTGAGGGCTGATAGTTAGTATTATTGAGAGAAATAAATTATTTATTTTTGTAATAAGGTATATGGTAGCTTCCCTGAGGGCTGATAGTTAGTATTATAGAGAGAAATACATTATTTATTTTTGCAATAAGGTATATGGTAGCTTCCCTGAGGGCTGATAGTTAGTATTATTGATAGAGAGAAATACATTATTTATTTTTGCAATAAGGTATATGGTAGCTTCCCTGAGGGCTGATAGTTAGTATTATAGAGAGAAATACATTATTTATTTTTGCAATAAGGTATATGGTAGCTTCCCTGAGGGCTGATAGTTAGTATTATTGAGAGAAATACATTATTTATTTTTGCAATAAGGTATATGGTAGCTTCCCTGAGGGCTGATAGTTAGTATTATTGAGAGAAATAAATTATTTATTTTTGTAATGAGGTATATGGTAGCTTTCCTGAGGGCTGATAGTTAGTATTATTGAGAGAAATAAATTATTTATTTTTGTAATAAGGTATATGGTAGCTTCCCTGAGGGCTGATAGTTAGTATTATTGAGAGAAATACATTATTTATTTTTGTAATAAGGTATATGGTAGCTTTCCTGAGGGCTGATAGTTAGTATTATTGAGAGAAATACATTATTTATTTTTGTAATAAGGTATATGGTAGCTTCCCTGAGGGCTGATACAATAAACAGTTCTCACACCCTAGCCTGTGTTATCGTGTCTACTTCCACAAGAACACTTCGATGGCTATTACAATAAACAGTCTCACACCCTAGCCTGTGTTATCGTGACTACTTCCACAAGAACACTTAGATGGCTATTACAATAAACAGTTCTCACACCCTAGCCTGTGTTATCGTGACTACTTCCACAAGAACACTTCGATGGCTATCACATATAGATCTCACCAAATAGAATATTTAAGGAAAAGTCCGCATGGACAACAATGAAGACATTCTGTGATAACACAACACACTGTGGGACACTCACTCACTCACTCACCCTAGCCTGTGGGACAACGGATCGCGTACAGTATTTCATATATACAGTGATGACTTATTAACTCTCAAAGTAACAACACACATGTCATTACTGTTATTGAGCATGAGGCCTTTTGCTTCGGTGTGTCCGCTAAACTAACCTCTTTCATAATCAAGATTATCAGCCAAAGCAAATAAGCCTATAATGACGCCAACAGAAAACAATTAAAACGTGGTCCACAAATCTGCCTCTCAAAGCATGCCCACGTGCCTGTAGGGGGTCACCAGACACCCGTCGTGCCAGACTATACACTGTGTGTTGGTATCAAGGCACGGGTGCTCGAAATATTTCTAAAGTGAGAACAATTTAATAATGTGCTGAATGCCCGAGAAGTCACGGGTGAAGACAATCAACACGATAGGAAGGGCTGCATCATGTCAATAACACTCAAATCACTCAAAAAACACGGGTTCCTGTCAGACAGTGATCATTAATCTCTTAATGCCATATTCGTCGATAACAGAACAATATCTGCGATGTGACGGTCACTGGCGATACAGATAAGGCGATCTCAGGAAGTGGTAGAGATTTCACAGGAATACTCAACGAGCGCATACTTCTGTTGGAATGGGGTGAGAATGAAATTTCTTTTTTTTTCACTTGACCTTCAGTTTGGAAGTACACAACAGTTTCCTGAGTCTGAAATGTACTGGAAGGAATCCTTGGCATTTGATGTGATCTTCGTTTGGATAATTCTTTCTAAGTTGATGTGATTAAAATTATACCCCAGGAAACCATGGGTAAAACGCAACGAGGACCAAATGTTGAATTTGGATGTTCATTCTAACTAGGTCTAATTTTGAACGATATATATTTGATCTAGCAGTCGTGGAATGGCCATGGTCGTTTCCCGTTGTGGAATTGTCATAAAAATACATTTAAATCGCTTGCTTCGCCGTTCCGCACTTGCTTGAAATTTGAAACCTGTTGAAACCTTCATTGAAGCCTGTTTAAACATTGAGGACAAGGGGGAGACGAAGGAACATCTATTCATGATGAAGAGGTGTCTGAAGAAAGCAATGACAGCAATAGGTATCGTGAAGGCGGTCACCAGCAGGTGCCTGTTCGCTGCCCATGGGTTTGTGTGCATCTGGAGAGTGGTGGTGATGAAGGGAGACCCTCTCTACTGGTGTCTCACAGGCTCGCTCCCGCTGCTCATTCTGGAAGGAGTTTTTACATTGAAGAAAAAGAAGGGCAGAGAGTGGAAATGGTATGATGTTATTTACTTCTCTTTTAATACCACCCTGGTGTGTTAAGTATCCCTCGAGGCTGTTTTGAAGTGTTATGGTTTAAACATATTTTTATTCCGTCAATACAGAAACCTGGATAGGCGAACAAGCCAAGTGGCTTATATAAACGCCGCTCCAGTTCAAGGTTCCAATATAGCTGCATACATATTTGAAATAGTCCGACAAGAAAAGAATACTACTGAAACAAAATTACACTCAGAAAAATGATTGAATAATAAATATTTGGTTATGGTGTTGGTTGAGCCTAGCAACGAAAAGAGCTGCCGCAGAAAATCAAGTACTAGTAATATAAATCTTGTCTTGCGTTGAATATACATGTATATGTAGAGGTGATAATCACTGGAAGCGCTTACTTTTAGAAATGAACTGGTGTAATGAGTTTAGAATGTCACAATTTGTTGAGTTATCCAATGCGCCGTTACCGTATAAGGTAGTTTTCACATCGTATCCTTGAATATAAAAATACACCGTTGTTCTTAAATTTTGATAGTTCCGACATGTAAAAAGGTAGTGAATGACGTCTTCGTTATAATGACCACATGAACACTATCTGTCTGCGTTCAGATCACTACAGCCGAGCTTGAGGCGACAATGGATGATTTGACAAAATCTAGTCCCAAGATTTAAATCGAAGTAGTTGTCAGTTTCTGTTGGATTTATCATGGTTTTAAACTGCCTCACGGAAATAGCGTTTACAGCTCCATCGGGCAATGAATTCCACGACATAATCGCGCTCGGTAAAAATGACTGAGAATATCTTTGGGTTCTACAGTTAGTAGTTTGAATGGAAGTACTATCTCTGAAGTGTTATCAATCTGTCTGTTTAATATATAAAATTGATTCTCTTCTCAGTTTCATGAAATATGTTTCTAATCATCATTAATTGTTACATGGATATGTTTCTCATTGATTTACCTCTCTGCGTATTCAAGTTGGATTTTGTTCAGTAAGCTATGAAAGGGTAGGGGCGCGTCGCTTCCCCCATGCATAAAGAGACAACTAAAGTGATACATGCGTAATAAATACTGGCAAAAAAACCTCATAATGAAACTTTTATCCGTAACTTGTAAGATTCGACATAAAGAAGACAGTTATTAGGGTTAAGTCTACTGAAGTCGAGTAGAAAACTTGTCACCAATGCGCAAGTGCAAATGTGAGAACAAGTTTTGTATTACTAACAGTTCCAGAATCCCTAATACACCATTATACAATCTAGAATTTGGTACTCCACAATCGAGCACCAGACTGAGACTCGCTGAACCTGTCGCACTAAGTAAACCTGTCTCTAGACTGACAATAGCACACCGGGTCTGAAATACAACAAGCTATGGTTTCTGTGACACTATCTTAAGGAGTTTGTTTGATTTTGTTCACAGTAGATCTTAGTGTCTCACTCGCGTACAACTACCCTACCATTTAACAAAATATAGTGTCCAGAGTTTTGATAAAGATCCGCATTGACAAATTCAACTTTCCAATAGTCAACTTTCCTTTTATGTCGTGCAGTATTCAAACAGCTCCAGGCTTCTGTATGAACATTTCACGTCTTTTGAGTTAACACCGAACATCCTAGTACTAAGGTAAACATTTTTTAAATGGACGCATCACTGACAAAATGATGTTCGGCGCAGTTCCTACTTGGACGTGTACCATACAGGCCAATACAGGCCAGGACGTGTACCATACAGGCCAATACAGGCCAGGACGTGTACCATACACGCCAATACAGGCCAGGACGTGTACCATACACGCCAATACAGGCCAGGACGTGTACCATACAGGCCAATACAGGCCAGGACGTGTACCATACAGGCCAATACAGGCCAGGACGTGTACCATACAGGCCAATACAGGCCAGGACGTGTACCATACAGGCCAATACAGGCCAGGACGTGTACCATACAGGCCAATACAGGCCAGGACGTGCACCATACAGGCCAATACAGGCCAGGACGTGCACCATACAGGCCAATACAGGCCAGGACGTGTACCATACAGGCCAATACAGGCCAGGACGTGTACCATACAGGCCAATACAGGCCAGGACGTGTACCATACAGGCCCGTGTTTTTAAGGTGAACATGTGACCTCCATTCGTTTAAAACGGGTTCCACTGGGGCGCGGACGTGCGTGTGTGTTTGTGTACAGTGAGGAAGTTTAGTTTTACGCAATAGCAGCAATATTCCAGCAACATCACGGCGGGGGACACCAGAAATAGGCTTCACCCATTATACCTAGGCTACATTCAGCTTATCGTGACCACCTGGTATCATCACTAATGCTCGATAGTGATCCATCAACACGAGCTCTTGATATAGTTGGAGTTGTACTGTCAACGTCAGGCACAGATTTGTAATGGATATGGGGAGAGTTTTGTCGCTATTATATTATCATCACTAATGCTTGGTAGTGATCCATCAACACGAGCTCTTGATATAGTTGGAATTGTACTGTCAACGTCAGGCACAGATTTGGGGGGAGTTTTGTCGCTATTATATTATCATCACTAATGCTCGATAGTGATCCATCAACACGAGCTCTTGATATAGTTGGAATTGTACTGTCAACGTCAGGCACAGATTTGGGGGGAGTTTTGTCGCTATTATATTATCATCACTAATGCTCGATAGTGATCCATCAACACGAGCTCTTGATATAGTTGGAATTGTACTGTCAACGTCAGGCACAGATTTGGGGGGAGTTTTGTCGCTATTATATTATCATCACTACTGCTCGATAGTGATCCATCAACACGAGCTCTTGATATAGTTGGAATTGTACTGTCAACGTCAGGCACAGATTTGTAATGGATATGGGGAGAGTTTTGTCGCTATTATATTATCATCACTAATGCTTGATAGTGATCCATCAACACGAGCTCTTGATATAGTTGGAATTGTACTGTCAACGTCAGGCACAGATTTGTAATGGATATGGGGAGAGTTTTGTCGCTATTATATTATCATCACTAATGCTTGATAGTGATCCATCAACACGAGCTCTTGATATAGTTGGAATTGTACTGTCAACGTCAGGCACAGATTTGGGGGGAGTTTTGTCGCTATTATATTATCATCACTAATGCTTGATAGTGATCCATCAACACGAGCTCTTGATATAGTTGGAATTGTACTGTCAACGTCAGGCACAGATTTGGGGGGAGTTTTGTCGCTATTATATTATCATCACTAATGCTCGAGTGTGATCCATCAACACGAGCTCTTGATATAGTTGGAATTGTACTGTCAACGTCAGGCACAGATTTGTAATGGATATGGGGAGAGTTTTGTCGCTATTATATTATCATCACTAATGCTCGATAGTGATCCATCAACACGAGCTCTTGATATAGTTGGAATTGTACTGTCAACGTCAGGCACAGATTTGTAATGGATATGGGGAGACTTTTGTCGCTATTATATTATCATCACTAATGCTTGATAGTGATCCATCAACACGAGCTCTTGATATAGTTGGAATTGTACTGTCAACGTCAGGCACAGATTTGTAATGGATATGGGGAGAGTTTTGTCGCTATTATATTATCATCACTAATGCTCGATAGTGATCCATCAACACGAGCTCTTGATATAGTTGGAATTGTACTGTCAACGTCAGGCACAGATTTGGGGGGAGTTTTGTCGCTATTATATTATCATCACGATAGTGATTGGCTTGCCTCATTTATTTGTACAAATTTGAAACAAATATCGTTGTCCGTTGTGTACTGTTGCATTTATTAATCTAGTTGATAAGGACGACCTGTGAATACAGCGATGTTCGTGACAAGGCTTGCCTTATGTGTCCACCTGTGATATCTTATCACGTGTTCTCGCATATACATATATAGTCGTGTATTAATTAAGCACCACCTTATTTTGAAAAGCAGATGTGATGCTGCAGAAACGTTAGGGTATAGCCATCAATTTAATCAACCTGTAGTTAAAGAAGTTTACCCACTGACAGTTTTACAAATACCATAACCTATTCTATTTTTTATGAAAGAATATGTTGATGAAAATGTGATGGGTCTTAATTTTTACCCAAAATAACTATTCCTCTCCTGCTCAAACTACACAATTAAATTAATTTTGACTAAAAATAACAATTCTGTTATATACCAAGATGACATTTACACTTTAAGTAAGCTTTAATTATGCATAATCAGGATGAACCCGAATGTCCAAGATTCAGACCTTTTTCAGATTGCTAATTCAGATTGTAATCAATAAACACTACTCCTTGCCGGATACTGATGATTACAGCTAAAATCTGTTTGTTGTGTTTGTAAAGCACCTTTTACTGCATTTTAAAAGTTTCCTGTTTTTAGTTTGACAGTAACTTTTTCAAAATCTTAGTTTACAAACTTTCATCCATTCACAATAAATAACGAATTTATAGGCCACACAACAACAAAAATCAATTATTACTTTCACTTTTCAAAATAAGGTAACTTGTTTCAGGACAGAAAAACACCTGTTTTAAATATAGACAATTATCCTAAATTAAGTACATGGTAATTTCACTGATGTTTTCGTTTTTGAAATGTTAAATGCTTGCTCTATCAAATTATAAAGGTTATTATTTGGAAAGACTTTAGAATTTCATTTCAAACCAAACTTATTGGTAAAAATACAGGGTGATGCTTTGTTTATATATATATATAAGCTGATGCGGTGGGGTAGCCTCGTGGTTAAAGCGTTCGCTATTCACGCCGAAGATCCGGTTTCGATTCCACACGTGTACAATGTGGGAAGCCCGTTTCTGGAGACCCCCGCCGTGATATTGCTGGAAGATTGCTAAAAACTGCGCAAAACCCAATTCACTCACTCACATGGTCATGATATAGCTTGAATGGTATAATCGACTCTGCCTGTAGCAGAGACTACATAAGGGTGCCGAAAGGGTTTTGTCGATTTTAAAAACAACTGGCTTAACTAAACGTAATATTATGTTACGTAAATTATAACGTATGATGACCTCGTCGGGAAGTAGAACAAGAGTGTGCTCGGAGAGCGGAAGGTTGGAGATTCGATCCCCGGCTTGGTACTACCCAAGCTCGATACAATATTGTACTTTTTGTTACATTTTGCCTGACGCTCCCCACTTAAGGGATAAAGAAGTACCGGCCGACTTGGAGTAACTGTGTCAAGTACACAAATCTAACAGCGAGTTGATGATTGGCTGTTTTCAGGATATGTCCCAGTGTGCTTCTGTACCTGGCCACAACAGTTCCTGCTATCTGGTTCCTGGAGCTAAACCTCCTGGACAGAAGGATCCTGGCAGTCAGGACGGGGGGCAGGGCATCCGTCAACGCCTCTAGGACCGAGAAGATTACTGTGTGGAACAGCCAGGTAGGACATGAACCGAGACAGAGAGCACTGATCAGTTATTACACGGCATCCTCGACGTTCCACCAACGAGTTCGTTCTCAACTGATCACAAAAGTAGTTTTCGTTGAAAATACAATGGTTTTAGGTCACATTATGTACGATTAATTCCATACATTGTAGCGTGAGCTTGTTTGTGGCAATGTTCATTGCCTCATTAATATAGAGAGTGTGTTTTATCTCTGTAATGTTGGGGTGTATTTTATCTCCGTAATGTTGGGGTGTATTTTATCTCCGTAATGCTGGGATGTATTTTATCTCCGTAATGCTGAGGTGTATTTTATCTCCGTAATGCTGGGGTGTATTTTATCTCCGTAATGTTGGGGAGTATTTATCTCCTTAATGTTGGGTGTATCTTATCAAAGCAACGTTTGGATGTATCTTATCTCCGTAACGTTTGCATGTATCTTATCTCCGTAACGTTGGGCGTATCTTATCAAAGCAACGTTTGAATGTATCCTATCTCCGTAACATTTGGATGTATCTTATATCTGTAACGTTTGAACGTATCTTATTTCTGTATCGTTTGGATGTATCTTATGTCCGTAACGTTGGGGTGTATCTTATCTCCGTAACGTTGGGGTGTATCTTATCTCCGTAACGTTTGGATGCATCTTATCTCCATACTCCGTAACGTTGGGGTGTATCTTATGTCCGTGACGTTTGGGTGCATCTCATCTCCGTAACGTTGGGTGTATCCTATCTCCATAAAGTTGGTGTATCTTATCTCCGTAATGTTTGGGTGCATCTTATCTCCGTAACGTTTGGGCGCATCTTATCTTCGTACTCCGTAACGTTTCGATGTATCTTATCTCCGTTAAATTGGGTGTATATTATCTCCGTAACGTTTGGATGTATCTTATCTCCTTCACGTTGGGTGTATCTTATCTCCGTAGCGTTGGGGTGTATCTTATCTCCGTAGCGTTGGGGTGTATTAGGTCTCTGTAATGTAGCGGGTGTATGTTTGCCTCACTAATTTTGAGGGCACAGTTTAAACATATGAACGACGTCTTGAGACAATTAGTTGTACCAAACTTCACTTATTCGCATTTCTTCACTTGGTGCACCTTTTTACTCTTTTGTATGATGATAGTATATTTAGAAAGAGCACATCTCCACGCAACTAGTACATGCTCAAGGCGCTTGTTCCCTTGATCAACTGATGTATTTTGTCTAGCATTCCTTTAACCAACTGCCTGGGGAATATTCAGCTCATGCAGCCTGTTAGGCGCTACGAGTTATCACACAGTCTCATCCTCACAAGGTACCCATTTGCAGCTGGGTGAACAGGGACGCATAGTCACAGTATTTGTCCAACGATACTGCACATTACTATACCCGCAACTAGGTATCTGCACGTATTCATGTGTCACGTACCGTCGGATGAGTGGGTTCTTTTAAGTGCACACGGTTGTGTGCTACTCACCAGGGGTTGTGACAACACTGAAAGAGCCTGCAAGTAATGTTAGCTACAAGGTTTTTACACCCGGTCACAGGTGGGGATCGATCCAGGCACCTTTCGCTTACTAGTGCGGCGCCTTAGGCAGCTCGCCCATCATGCATCCATGACTTAAGTATCAGGGTTATTGTCCAGATGGAGAGATGTTTGTGACTACATTTAGGGATTCCACTGCCTATTCTTCTTTCAGATAAGTATCCCAGTCATATTCGCCCCTGACGACTGGTGCAAGATACTGGAGCAGATGATGCTGCTTGTCCTCATCATTGGACGATGGCTGCTGCCCAAGGGGGAGATAACCCGTGAACAACTCTCCCAGCTCCTGCTGGTGTACATCGGGATGGCTGCAGATATCATCGAGCTGTTTGAAGCCTTTAAGGAGAAGGAAGTCCGTTACAACAAGATCCTTACCATGATCATCCTGTCCATGTGGACTGCCAGTCTCATGCAGTTCACGTTTGTCCTAACTGCCACCAAGTCAAAACGAATGCGCCCTGTCCTGTTTCACTCCGGGAGCTCAGCCTCCACAGTCTCCCTGGGAGGGAAGCCATGCTGCCCCACCGAGGTGATATCTATCATGATCAGTGTCGTGCTTCAGGATGGCCCGTTCCTGATCGTGAGGATGATGTTGATATTCCGATACAGTGTGTTGAGCTACACTAATCTGTTCTTCACATCCAAGAATACTCTTGTCCTTGTTCTTCAGTTCTACCGCCTGTTGGTTTTATTCTGTCAAAAGAAAGACAAATCCACACTGATCATAACTAAGGATGGTTTGAATTCCACTGAAACCACTGACGCGACGGCTAAAACGGGATCGGTGAAAATGACAGGGACTCCAAAGCTGTCCAGGAAGATGAGTTTGGATATAACTCTTGAAAAGCCAGACGGTTTGGCTGAGAGAAGACAATCTTCACTGATAAGGCAAGACTCTGTCACAGATTCCAGCCAGACGCAGGACACTGACGTGATGGACCTCATGACTGAAGAAAGCCATGTCGAGGATGAAGAAGCTGACATCTCTTTTGCTGCAGTTCTGAACGAAGAACCTTCCACAGACAAAGGAAAGTCCAAGAAGAAGAAAAGGAAGAAAGAAGACAAGTCAGGAAAAGGAAAGAGTAAACTTACTCTTGACGACAAAAATCATTGGGCGGATGTCAGGAAGATGGCAACAGCACTAGCGTTCCTGAATGAAACTGGGAAATGTCGAACAGTGGTTGTGAATACTGGCGGTAACGAACATAGGCTGCTGATTGTGGATGAAGCGAGTGCCAAGGAAATGGTTGGCAAGGGACATTGACATTTGCTCTGGAGAGGTGGTTTGGGACCAGATGTATGGCAATATCCATCTTGCATTTGTCAGAGAGCAAGAGACAGTGAATGAATTCAATTTTCGCCATTTTTGTGTGGATTAACCCAGTCATGCCGAAATATGAATTGACTGCAATGAGCCACGAAACAGAGGACTACGCATGATAAGTATATACGATTCGTAGACTGTGAACATCCTCGATCATACAGTGTTTAATATTTTCAAATGATTGTTATAAACACCCTGAACCCGTTGACTACTATAGCCCCAATAGCAACGACACTGAAGAAGAACATTCCCTGAAATCACTGTCACGTGAAAGGCATCAGACATTACGGATAAGAGGAATGGAATTGGTGACGTCTCTTCGGGTGATGGAGGCTTCTGTTTATGATTAAACACAAAATAATACACTTGAACTTCAAGGATGGGTATTGAATAGGATAAAAAGAACTCCTGTTGATTGGACATTTTTCATGCTATGGTTTCATATGTCCGAGGAGGGCTATATCTATATTTACATATGGCCAACATTTTGGAAATATGGTATTGTCATGCCATGTTTGTTTAGGCTCGACAGTGCTGTAATGTTTAGTTCAAGGTAGTATATAACAGATTTAAGGACAAACAACTATTTCTGCCGATAGGACGACAAAAATGTAGCTTTATGAGAAATATCTAAGTGAGATATTCATTCTTTCATTCAACAACAGAGACCTGGAAAATAGAAAAAATACAGTCTCTTATTTGTGCTGGGTGTTTATCAAGAGTGCGATTCATTTTGTAATGAATATTAGTGTAGGAAAATAAATATTCTGGGTGATGCAAACCAATGATTGATATTATCCCCAACGACCATAGTTATCGGTGTAGGAGGACAAGCGGTCAGTTACATCAGCTAGTCGGACGACGCCATGCACTAGTTCCAGGACAAGAAGATGAGTTAGGTGAGATGCCTTGGCAAGACATCCGGAACTGACGGCCCAAACCAACTTTGCCATAGTTTCAAATACACTCTAGATTAAACAAAGCAAGGAAAATAGTATTGGCGCATGAAGTAAAATGTACTAAATCTCAACGAAATCAAAGTATATACTCTTAAAATAAGTAGGGGAATTTCATTTTTGATTTCGATTGAAACAGTTGGGAGATATATCGGAGTCAATCAATGTTAATATGATAATAATGAATGTTTTGAGAGTGCATCACCACTTGCACTTCCTTATGACCATAGTTGATTGTATGGTAATCGCTCATTACAGTTGATTGGTGTGTGCCGTGAAATTTGCACTTTCATCTTCAAACATAAAAACAACGGCTAGAAGCACACACTAACGACTGTGTGATGCAACATGATTGTCAAAATTAATGGTCTACAGTGATTATCGACCTTCTTGAAATCCGTCAAACTCAATAATAACACCCCATGCACGTGTATGGGGCTATTGCGTTGTGCACGTGCATTCCATGCGTTGTGTTTAGGGGTGGTGATATATATAAATGGTAGTGCGTTCATAAGATGCCTGTCTTTGAAAAGTTTGTTAACACTTATACTTCTTCTCCAAATTGAAAGTTCAGGTTAATTGTTTGAAGAGTATATATTGAGAGTCTTACAGCAATCGATACATGCAGGACAGTTGCCCGTACTGTGGTGGGGCAGCAAACACAACCTGTCTGTAATGGACAATGTGCACACACAGTTACAACTGCTCAATGACACGTCACGTTAATAGTGTGTATGAACACCCCTGTTAGCAGAGAACCCGTGACATTCCGTGTTAGAATATTGATCTTTGGTAACATGCTTGTCGTAAGAGGCGACTAACGGGATCGGGTGGTCAGGCTCGCTGACTTGGTTGACACATGTCATCGGTTCCAAGTTGCATAGATCGATGCTCATGCTGCTGATCATTGTCTGGTCGAGACTCGATTATTTACAGACCGCCGCCATATAGCTGGAATATTGCTGAGTGCGGCGTAAAACAAAAAGGAAATTATAACCTGGGGATAACAGCGGGGATACAGTAAACCACCATTAATACATAAACAACGAATAGTGTTTATTTAACATCATCCATGTAATGGCCAAAGAATGAATTTGTTTGGAATGAAAACAATACTTTTCAAAAAATATGTAAATAATATATACTTGCATAACAATATATTTACAAAGTAACAGATTTGAATATCTTCATTTATCAACATTGCACTTGATACAAACTCACCAAGGATGTACAAACTATGCCCATGAAGATCTCCTCGGCACTTGATACAAACTCACCAAGGATGTACAAACTATGCCCATGAAGATCTCCTCAGCACTTGATACAAACTCACCAAGGATGTACAAACTATGCCCATGAAGATCTCCTCAGCACTTGGGCTACAGGACTATTTTACTTCACTGCCTGCTATACTTAATCATCTGGCTAAGGCGAATGTAAAACCGTCATTCCCAACTATGAGTGAGTGAGAACCTGTAACACCCCCAGGGAAGAGAGTTTTTATATGGATGTCAGCTTCTTTATCACGAGGAACACAGGGATGATAAACCAGAAACGTTGTGTTCCTCATAAAAAAGAAGTTGACATCCATAAAAAACCCATTTCTTTCTTATGTGCATCACTTCTAAATGTAGGACCCGTAACACCCCACCGGTGGTACTTGTATATATTCCCCCACCACCCGTGGATACTCTGGGTCGATATACAGTGGGGACGGGGTTATTTGTATGTTTCAGGGAGGGCGCATATAAGCGCTGATTCGTCAATGCACTTAAACACTTGGGGTACACATTTGATCATATACAACTCTGGCACGCTCATGGACGTCACTCCGCACCATGAATTACGACGACTACGTCCAAGACGGAATCTCCGCTCGTCCACTGGGTGACCGTCAGAGCGTGTTATCATTATTTATTTACAGGTAGCATCTAGGAATGACGTCATCATGACGTATCGTATGTTTTGGAATGAGTTGACGATTTTTTCTCCGATGTTGCTGTAAAATGTTCCTTTGATTCACTTGACAGTCTTCCAAGGTAGTCCCGTGCGTAAGTCTCATATTTCCGTGAAGGCGATGGAACTGTCGGAGACTTCGGAGGCTGCAGGTTCAAGTCAACTGAAAATTTAAAAAACGTTTATTTTAAATAGATTGCATTTTGTATCATTAACATCCAGACCTGGATTCAACAATGGCTACATATTTCATCTGACGTGTACTTCAACGTGTAGTCGTTGATGGGATAACTGTTACCTTCTAGGGGCGACACACGTCCTTATAGGCAGTAGACTACTTCTAACACATTTCTCTCTCCAATATCTATTTGAGTGAAGGAAAAATGATTTACAGAAGTAAGATCTTGGTTATCTAACCAAATACGTTGGTTATCAGATCAAAAGCACAACCTTTGAACGCTTTCGGAATGTGTATCATCAGAGACCATATCATATAATCTATTATATGGTCTGTGGTGTCATGTCAGTCAATAATGTCTGATACTGCCCCATTATTGAATTATACCATGTGTTCCCTTGCCTGTGTTCCCTTGCTTGTGTTCCCTTGCTTGTGTTCCCTTGCCTGTGTTTCAGACAAACAGTAGACGTTCTTGTGCATGGGTTTGTCATCGGTACCAGGGGTGGAAATAACCCATTGCCCGACGTGGGCAAGCAAATTTTAATATGATGCTGTTGCAGTGTCCAGTTGACTTTTCAATGTTAATTATGTTGCTATGTAAAAAATCAACAAGAAAATCAGTCGGTATAGTGGAAAAATTATCAAGCCAGGGGATTTAACATGTGCCACTGTACCGAAGTACACTAGCTATTTTAAAGTTATTTCCACCCCTGGGTACCACCGGGAGGGCGAATACTGTGTACCATCACCATTTGCTAGTGATACATTTACATGTTAATATCACAGTCGAAGTCGTACAGTAGACACTGTTCGGGTTTTCAATCTGTTATCATACAAAGGGTATTTTCGTTACATGTACTAACAACAGCGAACGTTTTTAATTCGGGGTTTGTTTGTTTTCGCTTGTATTCTATTAACATGTAACCACAGACAATTGCAAATTTGTTCTACCTTTGAAACGTATTTGTGTTGCCATTGTATATAGTATGCTCTGTTGAGAATGTTTTATCGGAAGATTTGTCTGATTTGATGACACATCAAAAGCTGGGATGTAATGCAGGTTTTAGACAAGGGACGCAACTCGCCACAGAGAACCGCTCCGCTCAAACGACTGAGACACAACTCCTTATTAAGGTAACAAGTTCAATGCAGAAGAAAGGAAGAGGGTTTACCTTTGAACAAGGGCTGTGAATTGTCTGTGGTAAACGTGGGTAGGTGGAAGAGTGGAGGAAAGGAAACCGGAAACCTCGGTATCCATGGAAACAATGGTGGTCGTATGGTAGGTGGAAGTGACGGCGGAAGGGACTGGAGAGGATGTGAGATGATTTGTGGGTAGGTGTCGCATCTTTGCCTCCAAACATCAATCATTCGAACCATACTCTTCTCCTGCTTCCTCCATTTAGCTCTTCTGTTTTGAAACCAAACCTGAAACATACAGACGCGTTCTTTGTATAAACTGGACATATACAACACGCTCATACAACACACATATACTATTGTCTTATACAACACGCATATACTACACGCATATACAACACACATATACAACACGCATATACAACACACATATACAACACATATACAACACACTTATACAACACACATATACAACACCCATATACAACACGCTTATACAACACACATATACAACACGCTTATACAACACACATATACAACACACTTATACAACACATATACAACACACATATACAACACAAATATACAACACGCTTATACAACACACATATACAACACAAATATACAACACACATATACAACACAAATATACAACACACATATACAACACAAATATACAACACACTTATACAACACACATATACAACACGCATATACAACACGCTTATACAACATGTATAAACAACACGCTTATACAACACACATATACAACACAAATATACAACACACATATACAACACGCTTATACAACACAAATATACAACAAACATATACAACACACATATACAACACACATATACAACACGCATATACAACACCCATATCCAACACGCATATACAACACAAATATACAACATGTATAAACAACACGCTTATACAACATGTATAAACAACACACATATACAACACAAATATACAACACACATATACAACACGCTTATACAACACAAATATACAACACGCATATACAACACCCATATACAACACGCATATACAACACACATATACAACACAAATATACAACACACATATACAACACGCTTATACAACACAAATATACAACACACATATACAACACGTATATACAACACATATATTCAACACGCATATACAACACGCTTACACAACATGTATAAACAACACACATATACAACACACATATACAACACGCATATACAACACTCATATACAACACGCTTGTACAACATACATATACAACACGCTTATACAACACAAACATACAAAACACACACATACAACACGCTTATACAACACACAACATACAACACCCATATACATCACGCATATACAACACACATATACATACAACACAAACATACAACACACATACACAACACGCTTATACAACACGCTTATACAACACAAATATACAACACACACATATACAACACGTATATACATCACGCTTATAATAACACACACATATACAACACGCTTATACAACATGCAT